TATATATCTGTGAGTGTTTTTATGCTTAAGTATAATTGTGAGAACATAAAAAAATAGAGAAGAAAACATACTAGGTTGTTAACATTGGTTCATTCAAGAGGAGAGTGATGTACGTGGAGGAGGGGGGACTTAAGCAAAAAGCAAAAGAAAGCAAGCAAAATAAAAATCTCCAAACTTCTCGTCTTAAAGATTTTTACTCCTTAGATTCTTGAGATACCCAACTCCCGTGAAAAGGCAGATTTTAAAACAAATGAGAGCAAGTCCTGCCCACTCACAGGCATATGTGTTTGAAGGAGGCCTCCCTGTCTGCAATTCCAGCCTTTTCAGTGGAAGTTACGGAATAAACAATTTCTGGTCTTCAGGCAGAGAATATTTTGGAGGAACATGTTGACATGTTGACGGCCTTAGAAAAATAGATGTTGAGTACCTCTAGCCGGCAGCTACAATTATTACCCATTCATCTAAATATCCATCACTACTCCGTCAGCTCAGCCAGACAGGACAATAGACAGACATCTCTACCGTACCATGCTCATCCCACACTGGAGATGATTGGGTGGCCAGTGGGGGAGCGGGGGGTGAGGAGAGGGACTCAAAATATTTTAGGGAACACACTGAGCTCAGAGAATTGAACAAAAAATCGGGATCTTGGTCTCAGAGAAACGAGTTAGAAAATTGGGAATCATTTAGGTCAACCCACTTGGAGTATGGACAAGCAACCCCCATGGATGACTGGTCTGCTTAAGAGTTGAAACTCATGTACACAACTGAAACAAAAGTTTCATGAGGCAGTAACACAGGAAGCATACATTGATATTTTCTATTTTTATTCTATTCTTTTTCTCTAAAAAAAATAACGTTGGTTAACACCAAGGAATGGGTCACACCTGCAGTTTGAAAAACCTTGCCACAGAGCAGCAGAGGCACATTGATTTTAGTGCTGTTTTAGCTTTGTGAACTTCTTCGGGGTCATATTTTTACTCTATGTTACTTGTTAAAATTCTAAGATGCTACATTTGTCAAAGAGGATAGCATCTTCCCAGCCTTTGCACATTTCCTTGGAGTTCTGAACGAGAAACAGGGCAGTCATTCTGTCTAAGGGGACAGGTTGGGGACACAAGTCCTTCCTAAATCATACGTTGATTTGTTGTGGCCTTGCTTGTTGGTTTTTCACTGGCTTCCACCACAAGAAGCTTCTTTTCTCTCTTCTAGTTTCTTTCTCTTATCTCAGGCTAATTCTTCTTGATTTCAATTTATCCAGTCTACTGAATTTTATTAATTTAGAAGTACCAGGATGAACAAGAAAACACTTTCCATCTGTGAGTAACTAATGGCTTAGGAGAAGAAACAAACAGGTGTAATAGAGCGAGATGTTGAAGCGAGGAACATAGAAGATGCTCAGGCAGCAGAGGAAGATGGGTCTGACTGACAAGAGGTGGAGATGGTTTCTCAGAAGAGATGTGTTTGGGAAAGAAAGTCCCTCACTTTGCCTGGGTTAGGAGATGGCACTCCTGGAGGAGGGAACAGCGTGCGCCAAGACATGGAGGTAGGGAGAACGCATAGTTCCATTTGTCTGGAGTTCCGGGAAACTGATGGGAGATGAGGCTCAGCTGAAGGGAGAAGTTAGTTGAAGGGCACACCTGTAGGCTGTGGAGAGCCACCCAGGTAACTCCTTGCTGTCATTGTCTGCTCTCGGGGAGGAAGCAGGGAGGGGTGAGTTCAGATTTCAGGGTCTCAGTCTTACTTCTTTCTACTTGACTGTAGCCTACGTAACATCTAGAATGTCTTATTATCTTAATCCCCAGTGCCTGGTAAAGGGCTTGGTGTGGACTCAGTGGACAGTCAGAGGAACCCAGACAATCAGTTTACCTTTGTAACCCAGCACTCAGCAGATATCTGAAAACTCCTGTCCAGGCTGTGCTCTGCTCTTCAAGAGGAACGAAGTGGCCTGGCAGCATTTGGGAATAATCTAAGAAAACAAACATTCTCTTTTATTAAGGCCTCTTTTCAAAGCTACCCCTTCCTGGAAAGATGTTGCAAATGAATTAATAACTTAAAATTATTCTCATCCTGCGCCCAGATCCTGAAGATAAGGAAAATACAGACGTGAATAAAAAAAGATAGAAGTAGAAAAATAATTGACTTGTGATATCCTAGTTTTATAGTTCTCATTAGTTACCACTGGTCAATAACAACTTTAGGTTTATGATCACTTTTATTCTGTCTTATAAGGGTGAAAATCATCAAAGAAATAATTGAATGTGAGAGTTGGGAGATCCCTTTGAGCTTATTCTGGTTCATCTCTCTCATTTTACAGCTGAGGAAAGTGGGGCCCAGATAATATTTGAGTTGCCCCCAAATAATTGTATATCAGACAATTAAAATCAACTAAAAAGCTATGACTCAGAGCAACTTACCTTGTTGCTGTACGTCCCTTTAGACTCTTAAAAATCCATGTGTGTTCCCTGAATAAAACTTGTATCACGCTGTTTAGATTTTTGTATCTTGCATTTTTCACTCAATATATTTTGAGGTTTTTTCCCCCAAAATCTTTAATTGTTATTCACGTATTTAATGACTATCTAATATCTCATTGTATGGATATACCATAATTTATTTGGCCTATTCCCCCTTGCTGGGCATTTAGGTTGTTTTGAGTTATCATTTGTCATTGTTAGAAATAAAATCTTTGCACATAAATTACGGCTTCCCTGATTATTTCTTAAGGGGAGAATTACCAGTTCGGTCAAGGGATGGACACATTAAGGCTTCTGACTCAGACTGCCAAGTTGCCCAGCCCAGGAAAGTTTTGCAGTTTTGACATAAGCAATATGTTTCATATCTTTTTTGAAATCTTAGCAACACTCGACCTAACAAGTCAGTTATTCTAGTTAACTTGGAGTTCAAATTTGCCCTCATTTTAATCATTTAAAAAATACTAATAATTAAGATGTAACTATTAGTTTGAGAAGCTAAGAGGTCTTATTCTCAAATTGTTAATGAATCTGCAACAGCTAAGAGAGAAATGTGTGATGAAGAGGCAAAGGATCAAATGAGAAATGTCCAGGAGTTTTCCTGTAGGGGTCACTCTTACTGCCAACTTACGCCTGCAAAGAAAGGAAAATAAAGAGTTAGGCATTGAAGAATGTATGCACGTTCATTTTTAACGCCAGATTCAACTACATTCCTTAAACTGTAAAATAAATCATAAGACCTTGCAGCCAGATAGCATTATAAGGGCATATTCTTTATATAATGACACACACCCCTCTCTCCACTCAATATGCTCCTCCGTTTGGATTAACTACATGCTACTCCTATGAAAGGCACTTCTGCTTGCTCTTCACAGAGGAAGCATTAGCTAATTGTCTAACGCCACAAAGTGTTTACACAGCATATGCTGACTTCAAGAGAAGAAAACACTCATTGCTGCGGACGACAGGATCCCCTCCCTCCACCTTTCCTTTTCTGCTTTCCCACGGACCTCTTTGCACTCTGCCTCAAAATCTACACACCAGAAAAAATCAGATGTTGTGATATGCATTCTATTGTGCCATTTCAGTACAAAGAGGTGCTTTTTAATTTTTAAGTTTTTATTAATGCAACTCAAACATGATGCCGACGTTCCAGGAGCCCGGCCAAGGTTCCTGTGCGGACGCACCTTCACAAGGCGGCTGTCAAGCTTCAGGGCTGGGCCGGAGAACATGCCAGGGGCTGCTGGGAACGTGTCAGCCCTCTCTACAAAGCATTCTTTTTCATTACAGAATGCAAAGCAGCCAGCCGTTTTCCATTTGCCCCATCTCCAGCCCTCCTGTCCGGTAGTGGAGGAAGGGGCCAGGAGGATATTTACCCTCCGCTCTTCTCGTATTTAACGGAACCCCGTGGCAGCCGCCTCTCTGAGCACAGCGCCAGCGGGCTCAGGCCCAGACGCACCTTGCAGGCAGCCTGCCGAGCTGACCAAGGGCTGTGGCCAAGCCCGAGCCGGGCTGGGGCGTCCGGGAACCGGAAGGAGCCCGTCTAGGAAACCCCGCTGTGTGCGGTGGTGAGGCTGGTGTGCGAGCCTCAAGTTCAAGCCGGGTGGAGAGCTCAGCCTCGGCCCTGGCGCGTTGTGTCCCGCGGCGGACACTTGGCTCCGCTGCACTCCTCTTTCGGCTGGCACTTGGCGAGGCTCACTCACCTGTTGGCGCCCGGATCTGGGCAGGGAGCAGGGCTCGCTGCTTACTGCAACCTCGGCAGGCGGCCCTCCCGGCGCCGGGACGCCACGGCCGGGAAGGCAGGTGTAGGGGCTGCTCCCTGGGACTCGAGGCGCCCCCGCTCCTCCTCCCACCCGCCCCCCTCTACCCCCTTCACGGCTCCGCGCCCCAGCGACCCGCTCGCCCCCAGGCGCCATCGGCTTGTCGTGCCCCGAAGGCCAAGTCGGGCAGACGCCAGGGCTGCAGGTTCGAGACGCTCCGCCTCCTTCTGCCACTTAGAGCACAAGCGCCAGCAGGAACCTTTCCACTCAGTCTTAGCTGCGGTCACTGCCGAGGTTTTTGAAACTTTCCAAGCAAGGGCCTACCAGGCCCTTTGCCTGCAACCGACGCCGTGCCTGCCGCCTGCCTGGGACACTTCCAGGCCCGGGAGATCCCGCTGTCTCCTGGGCACCGGCGCCCCAACTTTTTACGCTCAGTCGGCGCCCCCTGAGTGTCCCGCTCCAGGGCCAAGGAGCGTGCGCATCTTCCGGGGACCGGCAAGGCTCCCGACCTCCTGGCTCATCTTCCTCCTCCCCGGAGTGGGTGTGAGGCTGGGTGAGCCTGGATCCGCGGTGCACTTGAGCGTTGCCAGCGCTCGGGGTTCGCCCCCGCCTCCGAGCCCACCCTCGAGGAGGGATTGAGCCCCGGCGGTCCAGGCCTCTTACTCAGAAACTCAAGTCGGCCCGCGTCTTTCCTTTCGGAATCCGGGTGCCCGTAGCGGATCGGCCGGGCGAGCTGCGGGCGGAGGACCAGGGCGCTCAGGGCCGCGTCGCCCCGTCGGTGCTGCGCGCACCATGGCCGGCTGCTGCTGTCTGTCCGCGGAGGAGAAGGAGTCGCAGCGCATCAGCGCCGAGATCGAGCGGCAGCTTCGCCGGGACAAGAAGGACGCGCGCCGCGAGCTCAAGCTGCTGCTGCTGGGTGAGTGGTAGCGTCTCCCCAACCCTTGTGTGCCAGGCGATCCCATCTCGGCCGCTTCCCTCGCCCGGATCCCCGCCGGGCCTGGAGTCGAGGAGGTGCAGCGCCGCCGCCTTCTTTACCCCCCGGGGGCTCGTGGATCCAGGCAACTTGGGGCCTTTAGGCGCTTGTCCTCTGCAACTCCAGCGGGGCGACTTTCAAAGGCACCCCATTCCCTGCCCCAAAACAGGGCTGAGACGTAACATTTGACCGGTATCTGCTTTCCCCGATCTGTTCTGATTTGCCTTTCTCCCTAAAGCCTCATCCACCCCACTAGCGCGCACAGCCTCTGCAGAACCGTCTTGGATGTTGGGGTGGCTGGTGGGGAGCTGCCTGATCCACATCTTGGGGTCACTCTAGCTCTGGCCCCTGTGCTCTCAGTTCTAAATAAGTACCGTTGACTGAGTGTTTACCGTGTGCCAGACTGTGCTAAGTTCTTATGGGCATCACTGACTGGTGATGCAGACAGGTAATATCCCCATTTTAGAGAATTAAAAATAGAGGCCTGGAAAATTGGTGAACTTGGCCCTGACTGAGAAAAAGCAAAGCAGATACCAAGTCAGTCGTGAGGGTGAAGCCCAAGCCCTAGCCACTCTCCCCACTGTGACCCCCTCCCCCCCTCGCCACCCCCTCCCCCAGCCTCCCCTGGCTCCCCTTGCCGAGGCCTTTGTTTTCAGCAGGCCAAGACCTGGCTTGTTCGACTTGACTCGTGTGTGCTCACTCCTAGGACTCCCACCTTGCTGCCCCAGGTGCCTTGGCTAGTTCATCCGGCTCTTCTGGGCTCTCTGCACAAGTCTCAGTAGGACACCCACTTTCAAAAACACGAAGAAAACGTCAAGGTTTGCCCAATTTATGCCGTGGGACAAGGATCCCACCTCTTCTGACTTTGTAGGACCCTGTTCAATCCATTTGCTGTTTAAGGAATATTTAGCTTTTCCTTCTTTCAGACGAGGATATCAGCTGACGAATCTTTCTAGAGAGCTGCAAGTACTTCAAGTGTTTTCTTTTATCCCTTCCAGACAGGAATCCTCTCTGATACCAGTTGATTCATCTTTAATAGAAGGAGCCACCCTCCCAGAAGCTTCAAGGAAAGAAAAGTCAATGCAGTTAGAATAAAATGGAGTTCGGTGGTTTAAAGGACAGGGTCTGGCCTTCCCTAGGCTGTGCCCCTCCCCCCTGGGCTAGGGGTCTGCAAGCCAAGTGTGTTGCCCACCCAGAGTCTGCACTGCCATGTACCCCCAGACCCAGATGGAATTCACTGCGCAAAGGCCCCAAGCCTGCTTCCAGAGTCTGTGCAGGTAGGGAGGGCAGACCCCATTTCTGACGAGTGCCCGCAGGGACAGCGGGGCTGAGGCTGTGGAAGAGTTCGGAAACATGGGCTGGGTGTCCACAGGTGTGCCCAAGAGGCCTCCCTGGGGATGACGGAGCCTGGGGGGGAAGGGGAAGGAGTCTGTCCATTGGCCAGGGCTGCTCTTTCATGTCTGGCCTGGAACTCTGAGGAGTCTCAGAATTCCAGATTGTACCTGGCCTTTCCGGTTGTTGTAAACCTACATTTGTCAGGAGAGGAGGATTATGTGACGGGTTGCTACCTTGCTTAGCACTTTGGAGTAATTATCTGGGCCTCCATTTGTGTTCTTGCTCCAGGCCCCACAAATGATAGGGGCAGGTCTGGCTTTAGCTGCATACTTTTTCTTTTCAAGGACGCGCTGAACCCTATTTCATTTTGCAATATTTTGATTTGTGCCAGTGTATGAAGTACAGTGTCTAGAATGTACCAGGAGCTTGACAAATGCTGGCTCTTTGTACGAAAATGTAAGGAGTAAGCTGAGCCATACTGTATTGGTAAGAAGTCTGTTTGAAGTAAAATGCTTGCAGTTACGCTCACTAGGGGAGGAACGTTCGGAGGTGAGTTGTTTACTCTGGAAGTCCCATTTAATCCTGGTGACTAGAACACCTTCTTCGTCACCCCCAGGCTCTTGCCCTGACCCTCTTCCTGCCCCCTGGAGGTAGGCCCCCGCCCCCCGCCTCCCCCCGCCCCCCGGCCGAGGCAGGACTGCCTGACCTTACAGGACCCCCACTATCCTTGTGCCCAGCTGTCATTAGCACATCCTTTCAGTGCTTGTGACTCAGAAACTGCTAGAAATACAGTTTCCAAACCACTTGGATCTGTCCAGAACCCTAAGAATGGATTTAAGACCTCTGAATTCTTTTTCTCTGTGAGGGAACCTGGCCCATTTCCATTTCTTCTCAGGATAAAGGAGGAGGCAATGACTCCAAAGACAAGAAATCAGGGAAGGATATATGCTCTTTTGTCTGAAGTCATGAAGTTTGAGTGAAAAATTCACCTGAGTCTCTATAATGGGTGGGTAAGATGACCTGCCACTCAGGAGCCTCAGGTGAAACTTCTCTTTGCAAATAGAAGTTTAGGATCCTGTGTGGAGTGTGGAAGGACCTGAAAATGACCAACTCTTTCACAAGGAAGCTTGCTTTTGCAACGAAACAATTTGAGGATGTTTCTGAAGTGCGTTCACTGGCCAGTAGCCTGTATGCACTTCATAAAAGCATGAGTCAGAGCCCATAGGGAAGATAAAAGCTGCTGTCTGGTTAGGGCTAGTAATTGAAGATGTCAGCGTGATGCTTTCTCAGCAGAAGGAGATGGAGGAAAGAACGATGGTTGAAGTTAGTAGAAAGAAATGCCTTATCAGTTCCTCAGATAAAAGTAGGACAAAAAGGAATTCTGATAAGAACCTTAATGGGTCCTATTCAGTGTGGGAAGAAAGTGTGTCTGGAAGACAGCAATTAAATGGGGGAAAGTGTGATCTTTTATTGATTTTAGTATTAAATGAGGCTTGGTGAAGTGTTGCTTGTTAAACAAGTTGAGTGTCTCCGGCAACTCTGATGGCTTAATTTTGGGTGCAGACCTTATGTTGGAACTCTCTGGATGGAATGTTAACTGGGGAATTGGTGTTTAACTCATGCTGATATAGGGGTTAAAAATGTAGGTTCTCGGGCCGGACTGTGTGGGTTCAAACCCTGGCTCCAGCTTTTCTTAGCTATGGACTAACTTCTCTCTGCTTTATCTGGCAGTGGGGTTAGCTATCACTGCTCTATTTATGAGCATTTCTAGCTACCAGTGAGGTGTCATTTTCAATTTTAGTTGATGAGCTGTAGGTTGCATAGCAGTTTATCTAAATTGTCCTCGTAATGCTTTGACAGAAACATTTTGCTCTGAGTTTCCCTTACTGTTTTCTGAGCCATAAGCTGATTTTAAAGTCTCTCTTCCTACATACACCAGAGTTGAAAATCTGAGTCCCCAAAAGTTTATTGCATTGGTTATAACAAAATCCCATTTTAGAACCAACTATCACGTTCCTGGGCTGGAAGTCTATTAGAGGAAGTGGCGCAGATAGTATGGGTTTCTCAGTAGAAAGTGACATAACTTTCTGGCTCTGTGAAGGGGAGAAGGGGCAAAATGGTAAGTATGCCCACACTCCTTCCTCTTTGCTTAGTTCAAATGCAACAGAGTTTTCCAGAGTGCCAGGCACGGTGCTCAGTGCCGGGGATCATTTCCGAGTGCTCTGTTGGAGGTGCCTGTCCACAAGTAGCTGTGATGAGGAAGATGGTCATAAATACTTAATAGAGATTCAAAGGTGGTCCAGGTGGAGCATGAAGGGTGACCCTCTGGAGGAGGGATCCCCTTAGTAAGACCTTGAACAATGGGGAGGGTGGGATGCTAATGACCGTCCACAAGCGGGGGCTTGTGCAGGAAACACACACACACACACACACACACACACACTTCTCCCTGCCTACCCAGAGGAACTTCTGAGGACAGTAAGGGATGTTCTCAGGATCTGGGATAATATGAAGGGCCCCTCGGGGACAAGATTTCATAGAGTTTTTACATTTTATCTTAACCATTTATGTGAATATTGTGTTCAGTACAAAATAGAAATTAATGTAAAAATGATTAATTTTTTGTGCCATAACGTGCTTCAGAAAGGGGGACTATGTGACTTTATCTTTGGCTGTGTCCACCTGGCTGCAGTAAACCCACTTTACCACACAGCCTCCTTCCGTCATGACGTAGCACGCCCGGAGGCCTCTCAGGAGGCAAATGCAAGTACTCCCGCTTCCTCCTCCCTTTAAACGAACACAGAATCTTTTCAAACAACAGACTTTTACCCTTTGTACCTTTTCAAGTAAGCTTTCCTGAGGTATAATTTATATACGGTAAAAGTCACCAATTTTAAACGTACGATTCAATGTGTTTTGACAGACATGAACATTTGTGTAAGCATTAGCATAATCATGATATAAAACATTTCCACCGACCCCCAGATTCCCTGTGCTCTTCTGCAGTCACCCTCCTCCCCCAAAGCAGTTTTTAAAACTTTTTATTTGAAACAGTTTGCAAGAATAAGAATAGTACGAAAAACACAGGTCTATTATTGAAAATTTAGCTCATTTTCTTTTTTTGTTGTTGTTGTTTTTTGTTTACTCTATTTTCTTTCTCGTTTGTGTGTTCTCTTCAGTTTTTCTGAAATGTTTGAGGGTAAGTTATATGCTCCATGGCCTTTACCCCTAAATGAGTTAGTGTGTTTTCCCTAAAAATAGAGATAATCTCTTACATAAGCACAGTCCGCCGATGAAGCTTCCATAAACAGACTTCATGCAGTATTTGTGTGCAATCTATAGTCTGTAGCCCAGTTTTGTCAGTTGACCCAGTAATGTCCTTACTGGCATCTCCCCACCTCCAGTCCAGGGTCCAGTGTACGCTCAGATATTGCCTTTAGTTCTCATATTTTTAAAGTTTCCTTTAATCTGGAACATTTCTACAGACTCTCATTACTTTTGTGACATTGACTTTCTGAAGAATATAGTCACCTCTCCCTTTTTAAGTTGAACATTCCTCATTTGGGGTTTGACTGATTATCTTACCATTCGAGCTTCCATCCATGCGT